GTCTGCTGTCATTTAAAAAAAAAAGAAACAACACAGAAGACAAAATTTAAATTAGGTTTGAAAACAGAATATTTAATGCAAAAAGCTATATATATATATATATATATATATATATATATATATATATTGTCCAGGCTTCCCAGCTGTATGTTAAAACTGGCTCTTTATAGCACATGAAAATTCTTTTTTCAATGGCATGGATTTGATGCACTAAATGTTCATTCTGTAAAATGCAGTTTTGGCCTGTCCTATTCTAATCTTTATCTCTGTGACTCATCTTCCATCGGATGTTATCTATGTGCCTAGAATCTGTCATTTCTCTACTTGTCCTAAAATAACGCATTTTACTTTTATTATACATTTAGGCACTATTCTTTTCTTGGAAATAACCATTACTTCTGTCTTTCCATTATTTAAGCTACGGCCCATTTTATTACTTTTTACAACCACTTTATTTATAAATGTCTGTAGTTATTTCTGACTTGTCACAATCAAGACGGTTTCCCCAGCATAATGCAGGTTGTTTATGTGATGACTACCAACCACAGTTCCTGGCATTTCCATGATAGATCTCATATATTCACCGCAAAGTAAAAAAATCAAGGTGATAGTATGCATGCTAGTAAAATACACACATACATGCATATACATATACACACATATATATAAAATTACTGAAATTCAAATGACCATAAAGTTAAAACTCTGCGTGTGTGTGCACACAGCAATCTGACTTTGTGTACAGCAGCCCTCCCTGGGGCATTTGCCAACAGGCCTGACTATTCCAAGAAGAAGAATTAGTAGCATTGTTATCAACAATTTCCATACAACACTACAGTTCTTCAGTTACAATTTACACAGACTCTCAACTTTTATGGTAGTGAGTGAAGAGTGCAGAGGCACAAATAGAATCGTCACAGTCTGAAGAGAATCATGCAGCAGGAAGTGACCAGGGTATCTGACAGTCACTCAACACCCAGCACAGTATCTGACAGTCACTCAACACCCAGCACAGTATCTGACAGTCACTCAACACCCAGCACAGTATCTGACAGTCACTCAACACCCAGGGAAATGGCAAAGGGGACACACAGTGATGCCTCGGGTCATAAACTTTATTTGTTCTTTGACTCCGTTCATAAGCTGAAATTTTTATGAATCAAAATGATTGTTTAAACTGAAATTAATGTGAATCCAATTAAATCATTCATCTGTCCCAGAAACATGCTTGTTTTTAAAATTTTTTTAAATTATGTGTGAAAAATATGAAATATAAAATATAAAGTATAACTTTACATTTGTGGCACAAGTAGATGGTAGAGGAGCATTAGGAGAAAGATTCCTTCAAAGGGGAATCCCATTCCATAGTGACATCTGGCAACTATGTAGATATTTGTGATGTTTCTTTTATTTGTTTGTATCATTGTAAGTGGTTTGGTTGCTGGCTCAGTGGCTGATGTTTTCAAAGATAATGTTTATGAGACATCTGTCTTTTAAACTGTCCAATGCTCTGCTGGTCAGTTTTGTTAGGGTGATGCTTCTCAATGAAAATCTGCACTTCACTTGCAATTCAACAAGTTCTTCCACACTGAGTTTTTGCCTGTGGTCCTCCATGAGCTCTTACAAAATCCTCTTCATTGACCTCCAATGCCAGTGTCTTGTTTACTAAAGTTACATATGTCCTCTTAAGACTCTATCAGGCAAAACAACCGGGCTAAAAACTCCTCCAGTTAGATTAAAACATGCAGTTAGTGACATTGTTCCCTGTCCTGTCAATGAGACTACTTCTAACACTTGAGACCTTTGCTGTGTTAATATGGTCACTTCTTTGTGCAAAGTAGACAAAGTGCTTATGGGAAAATCCATGTACTACGACGTAGGTTGTTCTCAACGCAACCTTCACATAGCAGAAATTCTCACTTCAGAGATAATCTAAAAAAAATGCTGCTCTATTCTATTCCAGTTGCATACAGGCCCCTTCTGATCATCTATAACAAGGGTTGAGGTGATGCCATAACTTCTTCTTCTTCTGCCTTTCTATTCCCCAATGGGGCATAGGCCCTCAACCAACTCATGCCAAGTCGTTTTATTATTCGCCATTACATGAAGCTCTCCCCATGTCCTTCCCATCTTTCTAACTTCATTCTCCAGCTCTCTTCACCGTGTTTTTTGGCCTTCCTTTGAGCGTATGCCCCTGTGGGTTCCAATGCAAAGACATTCTAGTTATGCTGTTCTCCTGTTTTCTTAGTGTGTCCTATCCGCCAGCGTCTTTTCCTCACCTCTTGGTCCACTGGAGCTGTTTAGTTCTTACCTAAAGTTCTGCATTAGTTATTTTATCATACCATTTAATTCCCTCTATTTTGCGCAGTGACCAGTTAATGAATGTCTGTAATTTATTAGTATTTGCCTTAGTTGTTCTCCGTGTTTCCACCCCATACAAAAGTACTGATTTGACATTAGAATTACACATTTTTAGTTTAGTATTTCTTTTAATTTCTTTTGAGCTCCACAAATTCCCATTTTGCTTTAAAAGCTCCTCTTGCCTTTTGTATTCTTATTACAATATCTCTATCAGTTCCTCCATTTTTGTCTACATTACTGAAAAATAGGTGTACAACTCCACGTCTTGGAGTGGGGTGCCATTAAGAGAAAAACACATTACTATTTGCCTGATTTATTTTCATTCTTTGTCCTTCCTTTATGGATTTTCAGACCAAGCTGCGGTGATCTCGCATCAACTATATTTAATTTATCTTGCATTTGATTCTGTATATGGGACAAGAGAAATATCAACAGTGAAGTCCAGATCATCAAGCTGTTTTGCAGATGTCCACTGAATTCTATTCTTGGTGTTAGCAATTACTGTTTTCCTAATTCAATCAATAGCCAGTTTAAAAAAAAGAGAGGCAACAAAAGACATCCCTGTCGCACACCTGTTTTTATTTCAAATGTAACTTAACTTTCCCTCATGAAGAAATTGACATTTCATGTCTATATATGTTGCCTTTTCTAACTATCATCGCATAAAACAACAAGAATCCTACACCTGATGTTAACTTTCTTTAATGGTTACATTGTGTTTTGTATTCAGTTAGGTCTGGTCATATGTAAGTTAACGTCTGTATGTTGACATGTTGCAACCTTAGTTCTGATCATCAGTAAAAATACAGTTTTTGAGCATTCACTAAGAGAAAAATGAGAAAATCAATCCATGTTGAATGTGGCCAAGTCACTTACCCTGTTCACAGTGGACACTGCCTGTGACTGAGCTAGAGCTGTGATGGACATGACCTGCTGACCAGGCTGATGGACATTGATGGACCCACAATGCACCTCCATCTTGTATCCAGGAGGAAGAAAAGTGTTAAAGCCCACAATGAGGTCAGGGTGACCTCTGAACAAAGCTGACACTCGCTTTATAACACCAGGGGCGTCAATGCTGAAGAAGAAGAAAAGGAAAACATTCAAAGCTGAAAAAAAAAAAAACATCCCCATAAAAATGGTATACTAACAACATCATAAGCACCATTTATAACCGCCAATCACTGCTGACTATGTAACTGAATGTAACTCTGAAGTAAAGAGAACTGTTTTGCCAGACCTTTTCAGTTCAGCCTGTTAAAGGATTTCTAATCAAGGCAGAGGAAGGCAGGTCAATGTGGATTTTGTGGTTTTCTAAAATTAACCTAAACAGACTGCCAATGTGGGTAGCACACTGTTGCAGATTTAATTTTTAAATGATCTATGTGGATCTCTCTAAAAACTGCACTTGTGAACTGTACAATGGTGAAACTGTTCCCTGGCCTTTTAGAGAGTAAGGGAAACGGCTTAATCATCGTCAAGTAATCAAGTAACACATCATGTCGTCCTTTTTAGGACGAAATTTTTTGTCATTTGAAGCCCTACTCTGGCTTTTGCCAGGGGCCGCAATATAGGCAGGCCATACATATGGCCAAATGTCTGAACGCGGTTTCTGGGACCTCTCCACGGCGATCCTCATCCGCATGGTGGCACTTTGTGTCATCGGGTGTTTATCGCTTGTGTGATGTCCTGGTGGGGTAGAAAGTCAGTCAGTCGGCTTAATCATTTATGCTCAGCCTAGTTTATATGAACTGTCTAGCCTGGCGTACAGTACCATGCCCGGGAAAATTTACAAGAGAAATCTGAAGTCACATGATTCATCTCACTGGTGCACACTGGCAATCTTCATGTTCAAGAATGCTGAGTTTGAATTTAGCAGTCAAAAGTTCATGCCTGCGATCATTGCTGATATCTTATGCAGTGAATAAATAAAGATAGTTCCTTAGCAATTACTACCATTGCAGTGTTCAGTGAAAGGCTTTCACGTGTTCTAGGCCAAACAATAGAAGTAAGATGCTCAGTTCATTATTGCTTTTTCTTTCCAAGTAACCACAGAAAACTCTGGCAGCAATTTTATTAGGAGGTGGGTCAACCCCAGAGGCACTGATTAGAAAAGTAATTCTAGCTCTATGTTGAGTATAAACCTGTACCAAATTAATGGGAGTCAAACACACTAACCATTAAACGAATTCATTGACAGGTTGATGAAATAATCTTGTAGGATGATTAACAGTTTGTGATTCCCTCTGTCGATTGCACATAGTGCATTCGCTAGATTAAGCGAATTTACACGCCACAGACAGTCTATGACTTAGAAGAAATAATCCTAGACACCCCTATATTTCTAACCGTGATAATCGTCAACAAAGGCTCTGGTCAGAGCACTCAATAGTTTCTATGCATGTCTCCTCCATCTTGATGAGCTGCCTAGTTATAGTCTATGTTCAGTAAACTCATTTACTACAGCTCAACTGCAGCCAGTCTTTCAACATTATAAACTATATATAACACAACAGCTCTCAGCACAGTGAAAATATGTCAATAACACTATCTAATTGCTCTACTAAACTGATACACAAAGATTTTATACTTGTATTCTATCACTTCCACACATACACGAATCAATATATGCAAAACACTCACATCTGATATTTGAACTCCTTCATAATGTCTAGAAAATCATTGTAGACCTGGGGCTGGTTACCAAACTGCAGCTTCACCTGATCCAGATAGGAGAGAGCATCCTCTACCTTCAGACGCTGGAACTGTTGCTGCTGTCCACCAGACATAGAAGGTCTTGACATCTGTCACATGAAACATGTTTAAAAATTAGGCTGCCAGTGTAGTTTTAGACAAATAAGTAAAGTAAAGTAATGTCCATGTATTGGGCATAAGGTGCTGCCCTCATATTTATACACAACAACTGGCAAATAATGTAGTCAGTATCATGTTAGCCGTTACTTCCTAAATATTTCTTGGTACTATTCAGACTCAATTAACTTGGAATTTCAGTCTTTCTACTCCTGGAATGCCTCATGGCATCAGTGCAGGAAGAGATCTCAGGGACAGCTTCTTCTGTTTGCTTCGTATAAAGTACTTTTCAGTGTTTCTGATATGTCTGCAGTCCATCATCTGTGTGGTCAACCTCTGGCTGTTACTGCTGCATCTGTATAACACTGCTCTCTCTGGTGCCCTTCCTGATGCCAATCTTGTTACATGGCCAAACCATTTGACTTCTCTACCTATAAAGTTCAGTTTTGGTTCTGTGCCGAATCTCCTTCTGCTATCATCATTCCTAAGTTGATCTTTCCTTGTTACACCTAGCATAGTACATAAACATTTCATTTCTGTTGTGACTATTTTTCTTCTCTCCTTTGAAGACGATGCCCATTTTTGACATTGATATCAAAGCATTGGTAAGAATATTGTGCTGAACAGTGTTCATATTCACATGCTTGCATATTCAAGAGTCACTTATATCCTGTGTTCATCTTTGTGCTGGTTGGCCCCTGTCCCTCTCTGCCTGGCACTATGCCTTCTGCTATTATTATTTTGTTTCAATCTGCCATAATGATTGCTATGACCAAAATATTTCAGCTTCCGATAAAAGATGCTGTTTATTCGCCAATAGGACTCACGAGCAGCAGCTACCACATCTCCTGCAGCTTTCCTTATTTGCTCGTGAGTCCCAGCCATCTAGTTTAGCCCCGCTTCACGTCGCGTGTAGCGGCGTGGGAGATACTCTCGGCAGTGGCGGTAGTCGCTGGAAGTCCGCAATTTACATGTGACTGAGACCATTTCAGCGTGTGTTTTTGGCCACCATAATATGTGCCTGTTATTCAGAGGATAGCCAATAATGTATTTATAAGACTGCTGAAGGTCACTTATAAAATAAAATTTAAAAAAAAAGAAGCTAACTATAAATATCTTTTTTTTCTGAAAGAATTGTTCAAAATAATTTTATAGTATAGTGTCTAAATCTGTATATATAAAAATCAATGTTTGTGTGTTTATTACCTATAGACTCAAAACTACAAAACCGATTTAGCTGAAATTTGCAGGATATGTTTTGAATACTTGAATTCTACCTGTCATGGTTTGAAATAGGTGGCGACATCTGCTGGAGAAATTTTTGATACTAATATTTTCATTTTAGTGACCTTTAATTAAAGCCACGTTCGTTAATGCGCATGCACAGTCAGTATTCAAAACACATGAATTTCACCATTCGCCGGCGTGGAACAGCAAACCAGATTTTCTCTATATCTGCTTATCTAACGATTGCGACAATAACCGTGTTAGACATGTACGATTTCTATTATTGTGCTGTTTCAATAATACTTAAAGTTTATATCTGGGATATTTGTCTATGAGAAAAAAATTGCCTGCGGTTTTGAGTTGTGTTAGATTTGGGACTCAGTGTGCCACACACATCTCAAAAAGTTTTGTTCTCTTTTTGTTGCCTAGAAGGAGTGTTGGTTGGCCGAAGGGCTAGAACACTGGGTCCCTGTGCCGGAGACCAGCGTTTGAATACCCAGTACAGCAGTTTGTTTTTTTGCACAGTTACACTGAATTTTCATAGATTTCCATTTATTTTCATTTTGATTAAATAATTTCTTCTGACATTGCATTGGAATTAGGCTGTGTTGTTTATCAGTATTTATTTCGTAATTTTGGTGTATTTTTCCTGTTTTTAATGCAATCCACTTGGTTTTTTTTTATCCCAACTACTTCGATGAAGGAAAGAGTAGTCAGTGAATTGTGGGGGTGGGGGGTGGCGGAGGGTAACATAAACTGTTAACTGAGAGAGCATTAGGTCACAGTAACTGCCTTGCCCACTTAAAGTAGCAGTAGTAGTAGTTGTGGTTGGGCGGTTATACCGTAGTGCTGTCATGCCGGAGACAGCCGGTAAGGTAATGGTAATGGCATTTTTTCTGTCAGGGAGTGAAATTATACATCCTAGCCTGACCAGTCTGTGGCGACACCATTAGCCTTGCGGCGCCAAATCCTTTACCTCATAACTCCCTGTCTACTTCGATGGTAAAACCGATAGCAGGGACATTATTTTAGTTATTGTGGTGGTTTGTAGAAGTTGTACTGGTACTTGAAGGATAGTGTGGTAAATATTACACTAGCCGCATTTACAACTCATTACAATTTCTGCTCCATATTTTAGTCCGGGTGGACTAAGGCCAGTTACAAAAAATATCGTCAGGTGATGAATGTCAAATTCTTTGAAGAAGGAGAGAGCAGTATTTGGTGGACGGGGTGGGGAGAGGGGGAGGGGGTGATGACAAAAATTGTTAACTTAAAGAGCTTAACGCATGATTTTAAGGTTTTCATTTCTCAATTTGTTTATGTTTTACTAATGCTACCTCCGCTATTCTTATTTTTTTAATGACTTACTTGGTTATTTACAAGTACAGTAGTAACTAGTAAGCTTTACTTCCATCTCCCAACAAAAATACAAACAGCTTTAGCATGTGATAACCAAAAAATCCATTTTTTTTACTGTGGTAATAACATCATTTGCAAAAAAAACCACTAATATAAAGACATAATTATGTTTTTTGTTTCATATTCTACAGTTGGCAAACCAGAGTATCTCTATATCTGTGCAGAGAATTATTGCGACTTTAACTATATTAGACACGTGCGCTTTCTATTGTCTTTTTTTTCTAAAAGCCTTTGAGCGAGTAATACTAGTAGGTAGATCAGGTGGTGGTGGGGAAGGGGGGGGCAGCGAAGACTATCTCTGTATCTGCGCAAACAATGATTGCGACAGTAGACACGTGCGATTTCTTTTCCCATTTAGTCAAACTATGCCACAGCAACGCGTGGCCGGGTACAGTTAGTTAAAAATAAATATTCATGTATTAAAGCAGACCATTGCTTGGTGTTGCTATGGTAACGGTAGTAACGCATTTAGAAGAAAATAGCTTAAATATCATGCGATTTTACTCTTTCGCTTCAGATAGGCTGATTAAATTAATTACATTTCTATAGTTCTAGTTCTACACATCTTCAAAATGAAAGAAAAATGTATATACGGACGTAAACAAGTGAGGAACAATTAAACAAATCACAGTACGAATTACTCGGAGAGGCCTACAAAAAGCAATATATAAAATGCCGATAATAATTACACTAAATAAAAGGTTACAATGTGGCTGACGACGTCTTCGCTCGAGATAGTTTTAAGGTTTTTAATTAAGAGCTGGTCTTCAAGTTCCTACCGTATATCATCTCATCAGTTTATAGCAATGAACGTTTGTAAAACTGGATACAGAATTTAATTAGCACAAGCACTAATACTCAAATATACATTAAAGACTACATATGAAAATGAATACGAATACTTACCGCTATATTCAAACACAACGAGCAATTGTAGAACTCAATTAGAAGGCAAGCACAGCGCACGTGGTTTAGGCTATTTATAGCTGGCCTACCTGCGGAAATTGTTTTGGATGGTTACCAGGTCACTTCCGCTACGGAAAGTTCCCGATCGACGGAAAGAATCGACGGGCTTGATTTTGTTGCTTCAAATCCGTTTTACAGAGCTGGCTTATTTGTACCCAGACAGCTGGTTCTTTGCCTATTGCAGCCCGACTTGGAAAGAAACCTCTAATTAGTCGATTCTTACGACATGCTTGTTATAAATTATTTCTTAAAGTACTTTAAATTGCATATAATTACTAGGACCATCCTTTACACATACACACAAAATGAGTGAGCGGGGTAAAAGGGAAGGCGCCTTGTGTGACATGAGCTCTCACGTTCTTGTTGCTATGCGAACAAATTCTCACATTTGTTTCTTCAACGGCCGACTTCTCACACAGGACTCGGTTCCTCTTAGGTCAGCTCAGGCAGAGCTTCTCTCGTAAATCACTGCTGTTTTTAGACTGGCTTGCTAACTGTTGTTATGTTATGATAAAACGAATTCTGACAGGACAACATACCGGTCATTAATGAAAGCCCAAGTCAAGTGTAGTCGCTAGAGACTCTAGTAGAGTAGTAGTTGAACGCTTGCAATAATTATTGTGTGCCGGGAAGGGGGGGAAGCATGGACCTCGAGGTTCTGGCGCCCATGCGGGGGTGAGGAGGGGGGGGGGGCAATGAACCTCAAGGTTCTGGCGCCCATGCGGGGGGGGGGGGGCGGGACCTTTTTTTCTTACTTGAAATGGGTAAACGTAACGCAAATCTCCCATAACAGAGTTAGCCCTGCCTATATACACACCAGGTCACTTTTGATTGTTAATTCCTGAGCCTAGTCACCTTCGCACAAGGTTACAAGGGTGTTCCACAATACCGTTGATATCGCGTGTTGTATATTTCAGCACACCAACGCTTTTAACACTCCAAAAACATGGCGCACTGGCCCAAACACAACCGCCCCCCCCCCCCTCTGCCAGAGTTTACAGTTGGTGAACGCAGAGAAGCAGTGGAAAAAGGCTATGAATCAATGTCTTCTGCCACACAGAAACACGCTGATAAAATATATTGTGCACAGAAACTATCTTTAAAAACGTTTCTTTATAAATTTACAGTGTATTATTTATTTGCATTCAGCACATTATAATTTCTATACATGGTTACAAGTCTCTCAGTGTTCGTACACAATTAGAAATGGGTTTTTTTTTTTTTTTTTTTTGAGGGGGATGGGTGAAGAGGGGTACCTGATCCAAATTTCTATGCGAACAACATACATTTCCCGCATTTTCTACAGACAGCTTTCCTGACCCTAAACCGGCTGTATTATATTTAGCCCGGAAATACCTGATAACAAATACGCGCTCTAACATGAACCATTGTTTCACTATCATTCTTCGTTAAGGCAAATATGCAGACTCAGACAACATCGTCAAGACAGGCTGGTTTTCCTGTATATTTTATTTCAAGCCAGGTAAAATGGCTGCATGTGTATGTTTAACATAAGCCGCAGAGAACTAATTACTGAGAGGAAAGGGGACACGCCCCTCCTACATCAAATTTGTTGGACTGTGGGGGGCCTCAAAGGACCCAGGTTCCAGGCTGAAGTGGGTGACTAGAATTACTTCTGATGTTAACCTTGAACTCTCCTGCCAGTTCTGACATATCCTCCTGTGACGTCTAAAATAAAATATTTAAAAAATTATTAAAACTGGAAATTTGATAATAGTAAAACTGTTTAGACGAAGGTATGTTGGACATTGAGGCCACCTGGACTAAGAACACCTAGGCTGTGGGTGAGGCGATTTCCCAAAGCGAGGCGCGTGGTATGATCGCCAGAGCAAGATTTTGCTGTATATCATCTTTACCTATGTGGTCAGAGCTGTTAAAGTGGAGAGGGATCGATTTAAAGGTCTTCTTGTCAATATTGGAGAGGTGTTCCCGAAAACGACCAGCTAGCTTCCTGCCAGTTTTCCCAATGTATGCCTTGTTGCATCTTTTGCAGATTATGGCATAAATTAAGCTGCGGTGAATCTGATGCCGGAATGAAATTGTTGATGTAATGGATGAATTATTCAAGATCAACCATGGACATTTCGGTAATCATCTATACATCTCCGGAAACTTGTCCGTGTGTCATAGAATGCCTCATATTTCAAGTGGCAAATAAAGAGGCACCCGTAACTGGGACCCATCTTCGGGCCCATCGCGACCCCACTGATCTGGTCGAAATACACACCATTGAACTCAAAGAGGTAAAGGGTCAGTACTAGTTCGGCAAGGCGTTAAAGAACCGCAGTAGGGATGATGGGGTTGAACCTTCTGTCCAAAAAGAACTGGACCGTCGGAGTGAGGGATGGACGTATAGAGGGAGCACACGCCTATCAGGAAAAGATTACCGGGGAGCAGCCTGGTGGATCCAAACATGTTGAGGGCATGGTTAGTGTGTTTAACAAATGAAGGGAGACTGGTGACAATGGGTTGGAAAATATTATCTAAAAATTCCGAAAGATAAACAGTGGGACAGGAGCACGCAGACAATGGTACGTCCAGGGTTGTAATGCTTATGGATCTTAGGTAGCAAGTACAACTACGGTTTGCCGAGCTGGCTGTCAAAGTATATTGTTGGCCTGCTTGGGAAGGGTCACTTGTTACATAAATAATTGTAACGTGTCCTTGACTTTCTTGTTTTTGGACACTATGGGGTCGTCGCTTCTGGCTGAAAAGAAAGCGGAGTTTCCGAGTCGGTGCTGGCTGCCTCAATATTAAGATCCTTCCTCCAAACCGCTACAGCGCCCGTTTGTCAGCCGATTTTATAACAATTTCATCTCTCTCTCTCTCTCTCTCTCTCTCTCTCTCTCTCTCTCTCTCTCTCTCTCTCTCTCTCTCTTTCTGAGGGACGAGAGTGCCCACCGTTCACATGTAGTGAGGTTGGATGAAGGCAAAGGCCTCTGTTCCGACTGTTGGATAGCATGGAGCGTTTAGCTGATATAAAGATCAAGCGCCTTAGATTTACCAGCAGGAGGAGTCCACTGTGATCGGGGTTTGTGGACCGTTGAAAGGAATGTGTAGTTCCAATTCCTAAGGTACCAGTTACCATCTGAATGTATATCCGTCTCATCCTTCTCCTGAGAGTTGAGCGTCGGCCAAATCCCCTGCTAGCTCCTCGCAGAGCCATTCTCCTCAAACCGTAATGATCTATCTGCGCCTCCGCACTGTTCACCCGTTTCCAAAGGGCCCACACAATATCTAACTTCTTCTTCTTCTTCTGCCTTTTTATCCCCCAATGGAGCATAGGCCCTCAACCAACTCACGCCAAGTCGTTCTATCCTTCGCCATTACATGGAGCTCTCCCCATGTCCTCCCAATCTTTCTAACCTCATTCTCCAGCTCTCTTCTCCATGTGTTTTTTGGCCTTCCTTTATTCCTATGCCCCTGTGGGTTCCAATGCAAAGACATTCTAGTTATGCTGTTCTCCTGTTTTCTCAGTGTGTGCCCTATCCAACGCCAGCGTCTTCTCCTCACCTCTTGATCCACTGGAGCCTGTTTAGTTCTCTCCCAAAGTTCTACATTAGTTATTCTATCATACCATTTTATTCCCTCTATTCTGCGCAGGCACCAGTTAATGAATGTCTGTAATTTATTAGTAATTGCCTTCGTTGTTCTCCATGTTTCCGCCCCATACAATAGTACTGATTTGACATTAGAATTAAAAATTTTTAGTTTAGTATTTCTTTTAATTTCTTTTGACCTCCACAAATTCCCTAGTGCTATGAAAGCCCCTCTTGCCTTTTGTATTCTTATTTTAATATCTCTATCAGTTCCTCCATCTTTATCTACATTACTGCCCAAATAGGTGTACGACTCCACGTCTTGGAGTGGGGTGCCATTAAGAGAAACCACATTACTATTTGCCTGATTTATTCTCATTATCTTTGTCTTTCCTTTATGGATTTTCAGACCAAGCTGCTGTGATCTCGCATTAAGTATATTTAATTTATCTTGTATCTGATTCCGTGAATGGGACAGAAGGGCAATATCATCAGCGAAGTCCAGATCATCAAGCTGTTTTGTAGGGGTCCACTGAATTCCATTCTTGGTGTTAGCAGTTACTGTTTTCATAGTCCAGTATATAGCCAGTAAAAATAGGAGAGGCGACAAAAGACATCCCTGTCGCACACCTGTTTTTATTTCAAATGCATCTGTTAGCTTTCCCTCATGAAGAACTCGACATTTCATGTCTTTATATGTTGCCTTTACTAAGTTGATAATTTTCTGTGGGATTCCATAGTGCCCCATCAATTTCCAGAGAGATTCCCTATCAATGCTGTCAAATGCTTTTTTCATAGTCTATAAATCCAATGTAAAGTGGTGAGTTCAGTTCAATGCTTTGCTCTATTATAATACGTAATGTGGCTATCTGATCAGTACAGGATCTGTTGGACCGAAAACCCGCCTGCTCATCTCTTAGCATTTTATCAATAGCATCTTTTAATCTTTCTAAAATAATTCTACTTAATATTTTTCCAGGAACTGACAGCAACATAATTCCTCTATAGTTTTCACACTCCTGTAGATCACCTTTTTTGGGCAGTTTCACAAGATATCCTTCTCTCCAGTCTGCTGGTATTTCTTCGGTCTCCCAGACTTTACTGAATAATCTATGTAGCAATTCTGTTGATGTGTTTATGTTGGTCCTGATGGCTTCAGCTGGGATACCATCTGGGCCTGACGCCTTTCCTTCCTTAAGAAGATTTATAGCTTTTCTAATTTCCTCTTTGGATGGTATCTCACAGTTGATATTCAGTTCCATTTCTAAAGGCTGGATATCTGGGGGAACCTCTGGGCCTGGTCTATTTAGAAGCATTTCAAAATATTCAACCCATCTGTCCATTTGCTCTTTAGTGTTAGTAAGTACCTTTCCTTGACTATTTTGATTGATCCAGTTGGCTGACTATATTTACCTACTAATTTTCTTGTGTTGCTGTAAAGTTCTCTGAGGTTTCCTTTTGCTGCTGCTGTCTCTGCTTCTTGTGCTAGATCATTTAGATATTTCACTTTATCTGCCCTTATATGCCTCCTAACTTCCTTGTTGGCTTCTGTGTAATTCTCCTGAGCTCTAGCTTTAGCAGCTCTAGTTTTGCTATTGTTTAATTCTGCCTTTTTACTTTTCCTGTCTTCAATCAATTTAATGGTTTCTGGTGTTATCCATGCTTTATGTTTCCTTTCTTTCTTGCCAAGAACTTCTACGCAAGATTCATTCCAGATTCCTTTGATCTGATCCCAGCAGACTTCTGTGTTGACATCTTCAGCTAACTGCTGCAACACCTGGTACTTATTAGAGACCGTAACTGAGAACTGTTTCTTAATTTCTTTATCTCTGAGAAAGCCTACATTATATTGGTTTCTATGATTATAAGATGTTATATATCTTTTTAGTTTCAACTTGATTTTACTTATCACCAGGAAATGGTCAGTAAATACATCGGCACCTCTGAAAGCCCTAACATCGTAAAGGGATGATCTAAACTTTTTGTTAATACATATGTGGTCAATTTGATTAGTTGTCTTATGGTCTGGTGATTCCCATGTTGCCTTGTGTATACTTTTATGGGGAAAAATACTTCCACCAATAACATACTGGTTACCTGCACAAAAATTTGTGAACAATTCTCCATTTTCATTCATTTCTCCTAGACCATGTCTCCCCATAATTTCTTCATAACCTGTGTTGTCTGATC